CATGTGCGCACACAGGCACACCCTTCCAACATTTGGTAACTAGTTCATTGCTGATGTCTTCTCTACATCAGTTGAACTATTCCAGATGTAAAACTGGGGGGGGGGTAGTTCAAGGATTTTATCTGCTCACACATGTCTTGTGTGCTTGTATCTGCTCCTGGCAGTGTTTAGTCTTCCCTCCCACTACTCTCAGTGACCCCAAACTGAACTACATCTCAAACAACTCACACTTTCCAAATGTTCATGCCATTTCCTCAGCCTGAAACACTGTTCCTATTATTTCACTTGTCAAAATCATACCCAGTCTTTAAGGCTTAATTCAAATTCTCCTTCCTCCTTGAACGTCTTTTCTAGACCGCTACCTCTTCCTTCTAACTGGAAGCAATCACTACCTACTGTGTGCTCCCTGTACCTCTCCTGAAACACATATACCTCATTCTTTCTTACCTTGTGGTCACTAGTGACCAACTCATATTCCCTACAGAAAGAAAGTTCTGTTTAATTCTGATGCATAAGGTGAAGTCCAGATCCCTTAAAATAATGTACAAGGCTCTTGTGACTTGGTGCCTGCTCTCTTTCTCTATTGAGCCTTATTTCTTGGCACTACCCTCAATGAACCTGATACCAGAGGTGTAATATAAGCCAATTTTCCTCTAGAGACTTCTGGGCCTCTCAGATTCAGGTCCCTCAATTCCATGGGCTATGGAGGTGCAAAGTGCTCCCCAGGATTCCTATAGATTCCTGGAGCCTTGCATTCTGGCACAATCTGAAATGCTGGTAACTTTACCAGGCTACCACAGCAGCTGCTTTCCTCTGTGCGTTACCCTGTTACAATTCGGGAAAATAAAACCAAAACCTTTCTCCTGCAAAAACATTGAAGAGTTTAACTGATTTATGAAGGAGACCAAGGAGGATTTACATTGCAATGATGCCATGACTTCCCTGAAAAGTAAGCATCAGCTTGCCCTTTGCTCTACTGAGGCCCAGCCACTCCATCATACTGCTCCCTCTTTCCACCTTATTTTTGTCTTGTCTTCGTACTCTCTTTCCATCCCTCCCAGAGTAAAACCTTGGCACCAGCCAACCCCTAGGAGTTTTATACCAACTGCTTAACAAGGTATTAAACAAAACAAAACAAACAATAACAAAACCCCATAGTTTTCTCCTTAAAAGAAATTCTACGGCCAACTGTTCAGATAATTTTTTAGATATCCATTATAAATCCATTCATGCCTTGCTTCATAGTTCTCTATACATGCCATCCTGTTTCCTACTTTAATGCCCTTGTTCTTTCTGTTCTTTCTGCCTAGACTAACCTTCCCTCCACAGTCTTCTTGGCAACTTATGCATCCACACTCAAGACTCACCTCCATGCAGTCTTCTCTGGTCCACAGTAGAAGGTCCCATCACCCTTCTTCGACACCACCACTGTGTGCAGTATTTACCTTTCACTGGGCTGTAATAATCCCTTGTATATGTCTGTCTTCCATGCCAGACTGTGGGCTCCTTGAGAGCACACACAGCACTTCATCAACCTTTAAAATGCCAGTTTCGGGGCCGGCCCAGTGGCGCACTGGAGAGTGCGCCGCTTGGGAGTGCAGCGGTGCTCCCGCCGAGGGTTCGGATCCCATGTGGAGACCGGTTCCTGCTCACTGGCTGAGCGCAGTGCGGGCGCAACACCGAGGGTTGCGATGCCGTTGCCGGTCCCCGGTACGGGTGCAACACCGAGGGTTGCGATGCCGTTGCCGGTCCCCGGTACGGGTGCAACACCGAGGGTTGCGATGCCGTTGCCGGTCCCCGGTACGGGTGCAACACCGAGGGTTGCGATGCCGTTGCCGGTCCCCGGTACGGGTGCAACACCGAGGGTTGCGATGCCGTTGCCGGTCCCCGGTACGGGTGCAACACCGAGGGTTGCGATCCTGTTACCGGTCAGTAAAAAAAGACAAAAAGGAAAAAAAAAATTCCAGTTTCTATCCCAGAGCCTGGTTAATGTAATACATGCTAAATATTTATCAAATGATGGATTAAGAATAAATGAACTTTTCCCAGACCTGAAATTTAAGACTTTCTAGACATATAAAGAAAATCTGTAAAATCTAAAAAGAAATCTGTAACTGTCACTTGTTTCAGAGGACACCTTCTAATTTGGAGCATTTATGAACCTCACGGTGCCAAACAGAATATTTAGCTAACTGGCTTTGATGTTCTTCAGGTCACTAATCTGAAAAGCTTCTGAGTCAAAAAACAAAAAACAAAAACATTAAAAATAAATCCTGTTGACTGGAATAGTGTGTGTCACTTGTTCAGCAAAGCTGTCCTCCCATAACCAGCATGAGGCAGTTTTCAGTGGAGGTCTCTTCTCCTGCTGGCTTAGATTTGCTGCTACTTGGTTACAAAGTTGTGTTTACTTAACAGCAGAAAGGCCTTATGATAACTTGCCTGACGCATGGGCATGATGACATCTCTTGCTCCCTGTCTTGGTAATGGATTGGTTATCTGGATCTTAAGCTCACTAACAAAAATATATAAACAATGGGCAATTCTGTATTCACCTTGAACTGAAGGATGCTGTAGGAATATTTTCTGGTTTTTATTTAGTTATATAATTATTACATCAATCAATTTAATTTTTTTAAAAAGTTTTTATTGAGATATAATGCATATACCATAAAACTCACCAGTTTAAAGTATACAATTCAGTGATTTTTAGTATACTCATAGAATTGTGTACCCATCACTGCAATCTAATTCCAGAACACTTTTATCATCCCCAAAAGAATCCCCTTTCCCATTGCCAGTCACTCCCTGTCCCTCTCCCACCCTCCAGTGTGCCCTAGGCAACCACTAATCTACTTTCTGTTTCTATATATTTGCCCATTCTAGACTTTTCGTATAGATGGAATCATGCGATATGTGGCCTTTTGGGTCTGGCTTCCTTTACTTATGATGTTTTCAAGGTTCATCCACATAGTAGCAAGCATTAGTACTTCATTTTATTACTAAGTAATATTTCATTGTATGGACATAGCACATTTTGTTTATTCTTTCATCAGTTCATAGACATTTGGGTTGTTTTCACTTTTTTTCTGTTATGAAAAATGCAGCTATGAACATTCATATACAAGTTTTTGTGTGGACATATGTTTTAACTTCTCTTGGGTATAAACCTAGAAATGGAATTGCTGGGTCATATAGTAACTCTGTGTTTAACTTTTTGAGGAACTGCCAGACTGTTTCCCAAAGTAGCTGGTCTGTTTTGCATTTCTACCAACAGTATGTAAGGATTCCAATTTGTCCACATCCTCACCAACACTTTTTATCTGTCTTTTTAAATTATAGCCACCCAAGTAGATATGTTGTGGTATTTCATTATGCATTTATCTAATAGCTAATGATGTTAATCAATTCAATTTTGAGGCCATATATTTTAATGAACAATTATAGTGATGAAACATGGCATTCCATTTCAATAATTTAATTTTTAATGATTTTGAATAAAGTGATAAAGAGCATATAGGCTGTTAAAGGTCATACTTTAGCAAGTGTACTTCATTTATAGCTCATCTTAAAAATTGTAACTTGGCTACATAAAAGTAAAATCTTAATGAAAACTTCAGAGACAGTTTCATAGGACAAATTCCTCACAGGATAATGAAACATACTTGGGTATTTTCAAATATAGGGCAAAGAGACAAACTTTGCATCTTTTACTTGATATTTTTGTTTAAGCAATTTTGTTTCTATTGGGGGAATATCTAAACTCTACCAATTCTTTTAACACAAATAAAATAGCATTCACATCTGGAACGCAGACCACATGCGATGGCTCCACAGGGTTAGAACATTCTTTGTTTTGAAACAAGGAGGTAGAAAACTTAATGTGTTCCTAGCAAAAGGTTCCACAGTTACAATAAAATTAAAAGAATGAACAGAGTGATTATATTTTTGGGTGGTGTACAGAACTGTTAAATGAAATTAGAGATCACAGTTTAAACAGTAGTTTAAATCAAGCACTTTTTTCCTTGATCTGAACTTTATTTTTTTTCTCTAATGAAAAGGCCTAATCTGTGCATCTGGGAAAAAAGCAGGTTGCAATATTTATATAACCCATTTTCAATTATCGCCCTAATGTTGTATTTAAGATCAATAAAATGTAAATCTGTCCTACAAATAAAATTTGAAAAGTACAAATCCATATACCATTTCTGGCATTTTCCCTGACAGCCAGTTCTGGAATCATAGAATGGAAAAACACTGCTCTTGTTCACCTAGTTTAGGAAGCATATCTTACAGGATTATAAAAGTAATGTGATCCTGAATGCAAAACAAGGAGATGGCATCTTTAAACCACATTCATCACTTCCTTATCTGAGTGTTGTGCCAGTCAGTTTAGGGGGAAAAGTACTGAGAAACAGGACACACATAAAAAATTTAAGAGCTGAAAAGTGCAACCTATTTTTTTAAAATAAAAAGAAACAAAGCTTTTAACCTGAAAAAAAAAAAGTGAGCTATTAGTGAACAATTAACTGTCTCTGAGCCTTTATATAAAAATGTGATCACATTCTTTTCAAGAGATGAAGCATTATAAAATGAACTATAGATTTTTAGGTTAGGCATAAATAAGAATTTATCAAAAAATAGATTCATTAGCTACATGAACTGTCTTCAAAATAAAATGTATTAGATTTGTTTATACTAATTCAGATAACATTTATCTGAAAATAAGTGGCAAGATAATAACCTCCTAAGAAGTTTTGTGACTCTGAGATTCTGTAACACCTTTTGCAAAACGTTAGAGACAACCCTAAAACTTTATTTAATGGCATTGCCTTACTAAAGTGATTTTATGCTTTAGGTGTAAAGAAATGTAAGACAGAAGCTAATTTTTTTAGTTTGCATAAATGATTTTTATATTGTTAGTTCACATAAATGGTTATTGGAAATATACCTTTCATACTAAATTATAATCACAAAATTATCTTTATATTAAATATTTTTAGGGTTTGATAATACTTTCCAGACATAAAAAATTGAAGGAACTTTCTCTATCTGAGTGTGACAGAATCACCGATTTTGGAATCCAGGTAAGATAATTAAGGCCTTCTGTTAAAGAATTAACGTGGAAAATTAAGCACGAATTGAATAAACTTTTTAGGTCACAGTAGAAAAAAAGAAGTGATTGGAAATGTAACAACACGTATGTAATCTTGGTTGAGCCAAAATCAACTCCGGACTTTTAATCAGGTCTCCACAGCCTAAAGTGACTGAGAATTTGTTTTCCCATTTTTCCTTGTCTACTCGTTTCCTTCCTTGTGTCAGACTCATAGGATAAATAGGGACATTTTAGTTAGAGACTAATGAATTACAATATGGTAAAAGTCTTTTCATACAAAGAAAGTGTTCTTAAATAGAAATGTTATATAATCTAACCATAAACATTTGGGGAGTTTGAAAAATTATGGCAGATACTTAATAATTAGGAACTTAAGTTACTCAAACATACTTGGTAGCATACTTTATTGGAATGGAAAGCATGTGATAAGTAATTGGATAGGATAAATAATTATGTGCTTAACTGATAATTCAAGAACTCACAAGAAAGGTAAATTTATTAGACCTGGTCTTGAGTGATGTGCAAGGAGTCATAAAGTAGGTATTGAGAGCAAGCCACAGTGTAATTTTTATCAAATTAAGCATCTTAATGAGCTGTTGAGGATGAAAAAAACCAAAATCATGTGTCATACATGTATTGAACAAGGAGGGAAAAAATAACCTAGGAATATGGAAACTGAAACACATTAGAAGCTCCACATAACTGTGTCTTGAGTGCTTACCGCCATAACCATTTATGAAAACCTGGGGCTAACCTAACAGAGAGAGACAGAGAGAGAGAGAGACAGAGAGACAGAGACAGAGAGAGACTCTCTTACTGAGATGAAAGGATTTATTCCACAAGTGGAAAGATAATGCAAGCAATAGCTGAGAAGTCCACAGAGAATAGCAGACTTGAAGTTGTCTTCCATGAATCTGAAGTGGACTTTACAGAAAGCTTTAACATGACTAATAGGAGAGTGTTAAAATAACATACAAACTGGTGGGCTGTAAAGGGTCCCAGGTCAAAGGGTGCTCTAAACCTTAGCATTGAATTTTAGGCTTCTAGAGCTGAAGGAATTTTAGAAACATCTAAACCAATCCCTAATTTTACTGGTAAGAAAACTAAAGTCCTGGAGGGCTTAAGTGACTGATCCAAAGTCTTATACCTTCTCAGCAAACTAATTTCAGTACAGTTTTATAGAAACAAAAGGTAGAAATAGGGAATTGCTGTTTTAAGTGGTTGATTGACCACATTGCTTAGTGGGAAAAGAAATGTTTTCAAATTATTTTGCTGTATCTCAATGTGCCTGGACAGTGTAATAATACATAAGGGAAAGTGTCACACCATTAAGAAATCTTCTTTAAGAGGCATTAGGGCCAAGAAATGTCAATTTCCTCCAATTTCAGACCATGGGTGGGTACTAAGGTTCCAACCAGTCCCTAAGGAATCTGCCTAGTAGTATACCCAATTGTATAAAGGAGTTAAAAAGAACAAACACTCTCCTTCAAAACAAAGATACCAGAGAAAACTAGAAACTTCCACGTTGGACAAGATTGTAACTCTGTAACAACAGAAAGTGTTATAAAACAGAAGCATGTAACTTACTAGGAGTAAAGCCAAAATTCTTCTCTAAGGTTAAACCATGATTTACCTACTGCTGTTAATTTAAGGGTTAAACATGCATCTACACAGAGCTTTATCCATGAATATGATATATTTAGGCTTTTAAAAGGTCTTTGACAAGGTGATAGACCAAAGGTTATTAAAATAAAAGTTAAAATACTAACATTTCTAATATTGGGTTATATGATGATGAATTACATTTGGCCTATAACTATAAATCATTCAGAAGGATTGAAATATACCATGGTGATGACATAGTCTCTCAATATAAATCACTTATTAATTCTTTTAATGCTCCTTAGGATGAGAGCGTGTTGACCAAAGTCTGATGCTAAGTATTAGGAGGCCAGTGTTTTCTGTCATTTCATGTTGATTCTGTGGGTTCCAGGTATTTTTCTTTTCACTCTTTGGAGCCTAAAATTTATACCATTTTTAGGTGCTCTGAGATTTTAGATGAAGGCATTTGCATATGGTAACTACATGATCATACAGCTGAGTTCTGACATATCTTTAAAAAAATTTAATCTTTTAAAAATTGGTACATATTTATTTTCAGTGATCTAAGAGAGAAAACAAAAAAGGAACATGGAATACAGGAGCATGGGAATGCAGAATTATTTAATTATTAGTTGCACAAGATCAGCTGTTCTATTCAAGTTTATAAAAAATAAATTTTTTGTCATCATCTCTTATTTCTCTTTTTCTCCTCCCTGCTTTTGAAGTGTGTGTGTGTGTGTGTGTGTGTGTGGCTTTTAACCAGTTTTATCTCTTCCAAGGTTCATACTTGTGGGCATGTGGTAATCATTCTCCTCCTTGCCATCTCTAGCCCAATTATTAAGTCCCAAAAGAGAACAGACAAAAAAGGGGGAGAAGAAAGTGATATATTTCACAATTCGTTATCTGGATTTACAAAAGAGAGGGGAAGGAAGTAAACTAAGGTGATTAGATTGAGATGTTCAGATTATCCACAATTTATCAGAAATTCTCTCTTGTTACTTATAAAAGGTAACTATGGGGGAGATTCTCTATTTAGCACAAAACATTGAAAACGTACACTCTATGTAACGTATTTAATGAAAAAATGAAGAGATTTTTGCCCTGGTTAGGTTTTGCCAGAGTCATGAACATAATAAGAATAAAAAATTACCTCATTTTAGTTTTTTACTGGAAACCACAGCACATGTAGATTGAGTGTCTGGAGCCTAAGACGTATTGACTTTTAGGATCTGGCTTTAATTACTTTCTCCAACTTTAGTTCTTCCTTTCTGAGGACATTAGATGTTCAGTGATTATGTTAAACTAAAATTACTTGGTACTCTGGAAAGACATTTTGGAAGAGATATTTGATACAGCTGTAATTGAGCATTTCTTAAGAAACCTTTTTCTTGAGCATTTTATGAATTTAATTAAATAAACTGTCAAGTTTGGCAAAGGAATTGGTTTAAATGGGGTGTTATAATACAAATAAATTAGAAATTCTGTCTTATTAAGTTGCTTAGGTAGAACCAAAGGAATAAATCCAATTATTTACTCTGGTTGCTTTTAATACTCCCTTAATCTAGTTCACATTTCTCATTCCCTTTTTTGAGAATGAACTGTGCTATAAACGCATTAATGTAATATCCATACATATGAATGTGTATACTTTTCTTTATGCAGATTATCTGAGTGAAAATCTTCCAGCTAGACAAAAATTTCTGGTTATTTCAGTGTTAGTAGGTTGAAGTAGTTGATTACAAAAGGGCATTAGGAGAGGAAAATCAGATTCCATTATGACCTGCCACAATTACTGACACAAGTGTGTGTATGCAGTGCAAAGTATGCATATAATTATATTTCATGTAAATATGTACTAAATGCATACCTATATGTAGTATGTGTAAATTAAATGTGTACAAATTTTAGCATATGTTAGATTATGTGTTTACATGTAAATATATTTGTAAATGTATACCACATGTCTAGTATATGTGTGTAAATTAAATATATATATATACACCTTAGTATATATTAAAATACATACATATGTCAATGTGTGTATAAATTTATTACACCAAATTGTGCATAGAGATGCTATCAGAAAACTGGAGTGCTCAGGAGCCAACAGCAGAGAGCTATAGGCGAGCTGGGAAAACAGGCAGCCATTATTGATGAGCACTACACTTGTGGCTGTCATAAGCATGTGCTCTTCGTGCTCTCCACAGTGCAGCCTGGTGTCCTGGCTATACTCACACAGCGGGTGCCTGTGCTTGCCCCAAAGTTCAGGTACTCTGGGCATGTCTCTTCAGAAAGATGTTAAAGCTTCCTTAGTACAACACTAGGATATTATTTGCAATTACAAGATCATGCTCAAACTGTTTCATTTCAGATGAATTAATTTTGTGAACATATTACATCTTGCTCAACAATCAAACTGAAAACATTTTGGATTGGAATTTCTATGTAGTGGACACTGAGATAATGATTGTTTTTTGAAAACAGAAGTCATTATAAAATTTTGAAAAATGATGAGGCTAGGTCTAGTGGGTTATGTAGATCTATAAACAGAAAAATCCAATACCATGTGGTGATTGTTAGCTAACATTAATTTAGCACCTACTACATGCCAGGCACTGTTGTAAGTATTTCCCATGTATTAATTTCTTACCTTTTGAGGTTGGTAATACCTTTAATTCCATTTTACAGACTGAAGGTTCAAAGAGGTTTATGATCTGACTTGCCCTAAGTCATGAAACAAGTAAGCACATGAGCTAGGGTATAAAAGTGTCTCATTCCAAAGTGACATTTTTATCATTATTCTCTGATAAAGTCATGTAGGAAGCTATGGAAGAATGCAGTAGAGGTACCCAATCCAGCATGGGAATGCCAGAGAAAGTTTACCTGTTGGGAAAATCACTTTAATAAGGAACACAGAAGTTAGATTAAAGGGCAGAGGGGAGAGAGAAAAGCTATGGACAGTGAAGGTAGGAGTGAGTATAAGTTAAGAGGTTTTTGTTATAGTCTAGGGGTGATAGAATGGCAACCTGAACAAGGGCAGTAAGAGTGAGCTGGAGAGAAGGGAATGGATTACAGAGCATTAAAATAGCAAGATCTGTGGATTATTGAGTTTGAATAGGGGATGAGGGTGAAGATGTGGTTAAAGATGACTTCTGTGCATCTGACTGAGCTGCCTGTGAGGTTTGTGGCAGTAACATTTGTCAAGCTCTTTCCCATAGCCAGGAAAAGGCTATAAGCTACCAAGTCTTATTCAGCATTTTGGCATTTATTGTACTTTCTTCTCCTGTGTGTGATTTATCATATGTATATTGGTCTTTATCCCTGGTTCCTGGCACAGAGCTCCTAATTCCTTGGAATTTTCTGGGAGAT